CCGCGCACTGAAGCACGTGGATACGGAGCTCCCGCCGTTGCCTTTTCTTCCGTCATGACTGTGCCCTGCGCAGTGCCACTGCCGATGCTTATCTGGTTCCTACAGATACCCTGACCTACTTAAAAATAAATAAATAACTAAAAAGGAGAGAAGAAAAGCAATGGGAAAGAAGCTCTCTTCTCTTTCATGCTGCTCAGCACACACGTTTCAGCACGGATAAAGTTTTATCCAGGACTTAAATCACCTTCCCGATGCTCCCTGGGCACAGCCACAGCCCCTGGCCAAGCCGCTTTCCTTCACCAGCTGCCTGTGCAGCGCCGGTGTCCGGGAGGCACTGAGCACGGCCCTGCGTTTGGACAGGGGATGCCTGGTGCTGAAGGGGTTGATCCTGCTCCCCCCAGCCGTCTCCAGCACTGCTGAGGGGAGGCCGTAGGGCCCATCCTGCATAGTGCTGGTCACATTTCATTAACAGGCCATGGGGTGCGGAGCCCCTTCCCGGGGCAGGGGGGGGGGTTGATGGAAGAGGGTTTGGATTGTGGCCAGCGCGCTCCGTTACACGGGGGAAGATCGAGTTGCCTGGCCCGAGGAAGCTGCTCTGGACTGACCCGGCGGGGGCGGAGGCCAGCGCCCAACAGCATCGTATGACCAGCATGGGCTGCTCCGGCCACGCTCAAGCCTGCTCCGTGCCTGCCCTTGTGCACCTTGCTCGGACCACTTTTCCCACACCCCGAGGCCTGTCTCCCAGCCCTGCTCACGGCTGCAAGCTCTGACTGCTGCCCTGCAGCCTGCTGGCCCTGGCTTTTTACCCCCGCTGCTAAGGACGGACACAGGACGACGAGCGATCTCAGCACACCCGCCCAGAGCAGCAGCCGGGACGGGGCGATGGGGAGGGAGGGATGCAAAGGCAGCAAATTCACATGGGACATGAGGCAGGCTGCTTCCTGCCCCCTCTTCACAAGCCTGCGGGACTCTGCTGCTGGCAGCCAGGCGTCTTTTTGCAGATTTTGGGCAACAGTACTGAATTAGGAGTAATCGTTGGCCTGATCCTTGGGGCGTAAGGTTTTGCTTGTGCCTGCGAGCTGTTTCAAACCATTCCTGCCTTTCCTCAGAATCATCCCAGCAAACATCATCCTGGTTTCTGCAAGGCTGACTTGCCTTGAGCAAAAACTTGTGAGTCTGAAACGGGGCAAACAGCAGCAAAGTGGGCAAAAGAGGATGGGGGACAGGCAGATGGAGGGCACCCTCCCGCAGCCAGAAGGAGGAGAAAGAGACTACACCGGCAGGAGCCAGTGCTGCCAGGCTTTTCTGAACAGCAGAGGAGGTTGCTTTTGTGCACGGGAGCAGGGGTCCCAGCACCCCACGCTGAAAAGACCCAGCTGTGGCACGCATGCCAAGGGGGAGAGGGAGGCACGGGCTCCCTAACTGATCCTCCTCTGCCTCCCAGCTCTGGAAAACAGACAGATTGGAGAGGGGAGGTCTGTCCATAACTTCAAAAAGAGCTTGGCCCATTTTTCCATTAACAGCCCAGGTTGCAGGCATGAAATGAGGGGAAAAATGGTTTTCTACCTCTTGCATACATATATATATTTTTCGTGTCCTTTGTGCTGCTCGCCCCCAGGATAGCACTCGCCCACATGCCACCCCCTGCCACTGCCAACGCCGTGGACACGAAAATTAACACGCCACTGTGTTGGATTTCACACGTTGCTCAAGGAAGAAACTATTTTCTGCTCAGAGCCCATCCCCAACCTCCTCGCGGTGCCCCAGTTCCCATGCCAGAGAAGACAAAACCGAACTGTGGGAAGAGACAGAGGGAGAAACAAGTTGGGAAGATTGCAAGCTAGCAGCCAGTCACCCCGCTCCCTACCCAAATAGTTTGCTCTCCCCTCGTCCGCCCGCCGCGCTCCCCCAAAGCCTGGCGAAGCCAGGGGCTCTGGGGGCGCAGGAGGCGACAGGGAGAGAAAATGGATGAAAAGGAGGAGGTAGTGACCCAGAAAGCGGAGGGGAAGGCCGGCCAGGAGCGGGGAAGGGCACCCCCGGGCCACTGCCGAC